TAGTCAACAATAGACACACCCTAGTAATGACTAAATAGCTGGCAGATATCTACATTCAGTTATTGCAAAAAGACAGTTTCATAGTATATAGGTGTACCTTAAAACGGCCTGTCAACCCAACTCAGTCATCTTCAATACAGCATGATGCTTGTTTTGTATATTTAGGTCCCATTTAGAGTAAAATAGACGATTAAAGGTAGAATGTGAATACATAAAACATAAATGAAGCAGAATGAAGTACATCCTCTGTAACTAGAGACAAGAAGAAGAACATGCTCACTGCTTATTTGAATGTCACATAAGCGTTTTTAGATCATGGCCATTCAGTGTAAATGTATTAGCCATGTGAAGCTACGAGCTAACTAAAGTGTGCTAAAATTAGCCCGCTAACACAACAATGCAGCACGAGACAAGGACAATTTTGTCCAGCACTTGCACTTGGCGCTTAATTAATGTTGGTTCCAATTTTATTACTCGATTTTGCACCAAAATCAGGGGAGAGGGGGGGTTGGAGGTGTGCCGCTGTAGGAGAGAGGAGGATTTAGTGAGGAGGAGCTGTGGCCAAACAGCAGTTTGTTTTAGTTTCATGCTGGTGCTCAAGGGCGACATCTACTGGATCAAAAATCCCACATTCTGCCTTCAATGCAGGGGATGTTTAGCACATTACTTCTTTGTGATTGACCACTGTGCCTTGAAATTTATTCATTCATTTATTTATTTATTTATTTATTTATTTATTTATTTTATTTTATTTTTAATTAGGTGCAATAAAGTGACAAACTGGTGATATACAAATTAGGCACAAAAAAACCAAACAGACAAGGTCAGGACAACGACTCCAAAATACAGTAAAAAATAAATAAATAAATAAAGACAGCAAAATAAGACATCAATAGACACACATCATACTAGGAACAGAAAAACTACAAAACTATATGAAATACCTAAGAAAGGATACAAAAAGTGAAAGAGGTGATAGAGAGAGAGCGAGAGAAGGGGAGGGAGAGAAGGTGCTTAGTAAGGGGGACTTGAGAGGTGGAAGAGAGTTGAAGAGTTGAGCAGTGGTATGTGTTGAATATGTTGATGTTAAACAATGATGTGGTGTGAGAGGTGAGAGTTTGTGTAATGATTATGTTTTAGCGGAAGTTTTGGGGTTGGTTTGAACGTTATTTTATTGGAGGGGAGGATGGAGGGAGAGGCAAAGCTATTATTTTTCTTTTCTTTTCTTTTCTTTGGCCGGGTCCTGCAGCAGCAGCCCCCAGACCCTCAGGAAGGGACTTGTCGCTTGCAGGACCCGGCCTGTTTAGCGAGCACACGAGAGGGAGGGGCCACCAGACCCAGAGGAGGGAGCCCCCCCCCCCCCGTATTGTTATTGTCATGCCCCTCCCTCTTGAGCATCCTCCCCAACAAAAACAGCTCTGTGGTGATTTGTTTGGGTGGTGTGACAGAGTGTATTTGTGTGTGTGTGTGTGTGTGTGTGTGTGTGTGTGTGTGTGTGAGGAAAGATCAGTATATATATAAAAAGAAAAAAAGAAAAAAGAAAGGGGAAACAGGGATAATAATAATAAATATGCAATACTAATTATGATGATATGTCTGATGAAGGATTGTAAGTAACATGTAGCCGAAAACTTTGGAAGAAGGGAAAAGCAATAAAAAAAGAAAAAAGAAAAGAAGAAATAAACAAAAAAAAAAAAAAAAACAATCAAATAAAGAGAAAACATAAAAAGTTAGCCTTGAAATTTATTTAAGTAACCTTAGTATTTAGCTGTTAATTTTTTCACAAATGTTGTTTTAAAGATGATTTATTTGCTAGCCCAAATTATTTATCCCAACCCCAAATGTTACATCCACCACAATTTATGAATTCCCTGGCAGTGGAACTGGTGGATTGCTCTCCCGGTGAGGGCAGCAGTTTCTTACTGATTTTTACTGAAGATTGTAAATCTTTGTATTTATAAATGTTAAGTAAAATAGATCTTTTCAAGTTCAAAGGTATACTACGTGACTTTCTCAGCAGCTGAGAATTCTACAGTGGCGGTGGATGTGGTTCAGTGGTCGTGGGCAAGACTCTAAACCCCAAGTTGCTCATTCTGCTTCGTCAGCAGTGTATGAATGTGTATGAATGGATTAGTTAATACTGATGGACTCCTAACATAGCAGCCTCTTCCAGGGTTGCCAGGGCCACGATTTTCCCGCAGAATTGGGCTACTTTTTAGCTGCTGCCACAGGTATTATTTGAGTGGACCTATTTTTTTTATTAATTTGTGATGTAAATGAATAATAAAATAAATAACCAACCAAATCGACAAACATATAGAACATATCCCGCAACCAAATACACATGTACTCACACAGACACATAGTCGCGATGTGCCCGCACCCACAAGCCCATGCACCCGCGCACAGTCTTGACTGAGGTTTTATAGGTTTCATTTGGGCTTGTTTTGTCACACAGACCTGGCAACCGTGGCCTATACCATCAATGTTTGAATGTGAGGTTGTGACCTGCAGAGTAAAAAATGCTTTTACTAGAAAAAAATGATACAAGCTCAAGTCCTTTTTATCATTTACCACTAACAGTGCTTTGGCTGTAAAAAAAAAAAGATTTCCCATTTAGAAATATTGCGTAATTTTTTTTTAGCTTTTAGTTTCAGTTGCTGCTCAGGGTCCCAACACAATTAAAAACGAACTGTTTTAAGTCCTTTGAAAATAATTTCCCCATTTTTTGTGTGTACTGTAAGAAAGGGAGGGCTAAGACCTGCACGCCCATGTATGCCAGCTGTACATTGATGCGGGTACCCCCCAGCTCCTTTTCGGGTAAATTTACATGCAGTGTGAAGATACAAGCATGATAAAGATCACTAGCATTAGCATGCTAACACAACAATGCACAACGAGTTGTTTTGGTTTCATGCTGGTGCTCAAGGGCGACATCTGCTGGATCAAAAAATCGCATATAAAGCCTTTAAAGGCAAAAAAGCCTCAGAAATAACTTTAAAAAAAACCAATATGAGCCAATTTGGGTAGGTTAACGTTAAATTTCACCAAATTAAATTCCACTTAAAAACAAATAAAATTGTCTTAAAATGCCATTGAAAAAGTGGTCTAAAAGAGAGGAATAGAAGTCTGATAAAATAAGGGAGAGCTAAAAGTCCTGCACTTAAAAGGTATTAGCCTAAAAGTCACTCAGTTCCAACAAAATTAAAACAGTGAGCAAATTGACCCGATCATCTGCGACTGCCCACGCCTTCTGCTTCCCTTGTAGGGTCTCCTCTCGTCGCTTGACACATACACGGGCTGCAGGCTGGGCACTGCCGAAACAAGAAAATCGTGTCTACCCACACCAAATCACACAACCACCGACCGTAATTCCAAAACCAGAGTGTTACTACTGTCCCAGAGGTATACTCACACCGCTGGCAGAGCTCCTGACTGGCTCTCTGTCTCGTCTCTCGGCATCTCTTGCAGCAGGTCCTTCTCCGTCCTCCTGCGCCGTTGCTCCGCTCTCGTGTTGTGTTCTTAAGTTTCCGGGGACCGCTCTCTCGTTCACCTAATCTGCCTCTCGTCTGTCTCTCTCTCCTCTGATTTCTTCCTGTTTTTTCTTCCGTGTTTCTTGTTTATGACCCTCCCCTTTGCCGCCGATTGGACAAAGCAGCTCTGTTGTTGCTCCTCACTGAGCATGAAATAAAACAAAGCTACACAGATGCAGGTAATCTGTCATCAGTCTCCCAAAGGCAGAAAGATATATATATATATCAATATAAAAACAAGCATAAAACCAAGAGTATTGATAAAAACACAGCAATGGCAATCAAATAAAACCAAATCGTAAATATCACAACATGAATAAAACCCAAAGTATCAAAGCATGCGTAAAAGAATGTGCAATATCAGAAAATAACTTCTACCTTATTACACCCTCGTACAGTGTGTTCTAGTGAGGACAAAAACTAATCAGACCTATTTCATTTTTGTACCAGGCTGTAAACATGTTAGTTTTTTGCATGTGGTGTGTATGTGACTTCTGATGCTTCTGCAGCCAGCCTCAAGAGGACACTTAGGGAACTGCAGGATTTTGAAGTTCTGCAATGGCTTCATTTTTCAACACCGGAGGTCGTCGCTTGGTGGGAACACACGTCAACCTTAGTAACCGAATGTCAGCGAACAATTACAATGTCTGCAACAATCATTCATGATATCATCATCACAGTTTGTCTGTTTCACCTTTCGCAATAAACGGGAACACCACTCAAAGTCATTTCATTTAGGACATTTCTTTATCTTTTAGAAATGCGTTAAGACCTTTCCAATACATCGATGGAGGAAAAGTATGGTTAGAACATTAGGACATTAAAAGTCACTACATGAATGCTGCTTCAGATTGTTTCCATTTTAGAACCCGGTGTTGCTACTTCACATTAACTTTAAATCCCCTTTGATTTTTAGGTCAATATGAATGTAGGCTTAAGTCTGGCCAGAAAAGCTTCAGAGAGAGATCCAATCAAAGCTTTACACTCCAAGAGCAACCTCTGATACAACTGACGCCGCTCAGCAGACAAATCCATTGTGAGGTCATAAGAGAAGTGAAAATAGAGTGCTCTGTCAACGAACCCTACACTGTTGAGTTAAGAAACTCGACTGGAGGTAAGCCTGAACCAAACAAACACCAAAAGGCTAATCTTTTATATTTTATATTCATATTAATAAATTTAATTTTTGCAGTCTTAGGCACAGGTAATTCTATCAGCAACTCGTTTCTCATCCCCATCTGTGAAACAACAGAACATACATTCACCTGTCAAGTGTTCGGCCGCAAAGAATTAAAACGAACTACGCTGGAGATAACTACAGGAGGTAAGTGTTGATTAAAGGGAATGAAATACAGATCAGATCAAAATATTTTTCTTCCCTTGAAAGTAATGTTGTTTCATTCATTTCTTTTGTTCCTAGATCCTGTTTGTGAAGATGATGTATTTGGTACTGGAAATCTTGGCCAGATGGCCGTCGGTTCCTGTGAACGTGACGAGGTGGGAGAGAGGAAAGGAGTTTGTCAGGAAGATGGATCATGGAGAGAAGTTGAAAACAACTGTATCCTAGGACCGGTTCAGGAGCTGCTCCTGCAGTCTGACGTGAGGAATTTACCAGCACATGCTTACACAACATATTTTTAATAATAATAATTTGGGGGCCTCAAGCAAACTCCTTGCTGCTCCAGCCTTTGTCACAAAAATCAGGCTACTGGTAACTTTTTCTTTTCTAAAACTATTATTGTAGAACCACAACGACGTCTGAGCTTCAACTGTATTATCTTTGTCTTTGCATTAATTTAGGACAACCTGTTCTATGACATTACAATTAAATTACAATAAAGAATGAAGGCTTCATCTAATAATTGAGTTATTAGTCTAAATCATAGACTGTATAAAGATTATTATTAATTTACAATTTACACTAATATGAGTGTAAGAAGAATCTACATAAAGATTTTTACAGAATGCATTAGCTACAAAAAGAAGGCGCACCTTTGCTGGTATATCAAGAATAAAAGACGCCTTAAACACCTACGTTTTCTGGAAGATCTAATCCGCTCATTTTCTGATCACTGGTGGATCAAGGCAATAACTGCTGCACTTGCAGTAGGATTGTGTAGTTGTGTATTTTGTTGGGTGGCTGTGACTCAGTGGTAGATTCGGTCATCTCTTCAACCTTCTGTCCCCACGTAAAAGCAACCACGGTGTCCTTGAGCAAGACACTTAACCCCGAAGTCACTCCTGCTGCTTACATGGCGGCATATGAATGTGTACGACTTAGTTAATACTGATGGACTCTTTACGCAGCAGCCTCTACCATCAGTGTGTGAATGTGTAGGTGTGACCTGCGAGGTAAAAGAGCTTTGAGTAGTCAGAAGACTAGAAAATAAATATACAAGCTCAAGTCCATTTACCATTAAAGATGCACTCATAGGCCCAGTTGCTCCGTACTGTGCTGAAGCCTGATTGTTCCCCCTCCCCATTCCTCCGCTGACCTGCACTCACACTGCTCCAGGACAAACCGGGCCTGAGCACGTTGACTTCTTGTACATAACATCGTAATACAACACATGCATGGCTTTAGGTGATACTGAAGCGTGCTCAGTTCATAAGACAGATGGACTCAAAAAATAAAAAAGGGATGAGCGGTTGAGACCGCATCCGCACATTGGAGAACAACACAGAGAACAAGACTGCTACTTATTTTCAGTCATGTTACTCAGATACAGACAGAACACTCTGGGATTTCTTCATTAACGAAGGCTGTCTACTTAGCCAAAACACACTTCCTCCAACCGTGCCAAGGCCGAGAACATGTACAGTGTGTACGGATTGCCTAGTGTGAGGGCGCCCTTAGTAAATTTTTATGGCTTTCCTCCCAACAGAAAAACATTTAGAGCCGTCTTTAATAATAACAACAACTTTGACATTATCACTTCAATGTTCATCCTTGATATACTTTTAACATTGATGATATTTTTTCATTCAAATTTCACAGTTGTTGAATACCAATTCACTGCCAGGTTTCTTGGACACACTCAGCGATGTCACCGTCAACTTCACTGAGGAAGTGGTTAAATCTCCCACAAACATAAATGCCATTGTTGATATACTCAGCAATGTTGCAAATACATCCCTACCTATTAATAGTGACTTAGCAGAGGTATGTGAACAAGAAGGGTGAGGTTTACTTTATGTAACAGTATACTTTACATTTTACATGGTCTAATGTCTCCTTTCCTATCAATGCAGGATATCCTTCTCACTGCAGGTGTCCTCACCACAGATGGTGCAAGGGCGTCCTGGGAGTCCCTGAACAATGGCACAAGAAATGCTTCACAGACAGGAAGAAGCTCCACATTCTTGCAGTCACTGGAGACTATAACAGGTCTCATTATTGGTGTCTCTTTAGCAATTGACACACCTTCTATTCTCTTAAACAAAACTACATTCACAGACTCTTTCAATGCCAGCTTTAATTCTTCAGTGACGATAGTTATATCAGAACCTGGTGAAGGAGAGAAGAATATCACTGTGATGACATTTGCTTCAATGGATAACGTTCTTCCCGCGAGAGACGAAGCAAATTCCTCCAGATTTGACATCAATGGGAGAGTCGTTCTTGTTCAGACCAGCATTGGAAACAGCCCCATTAATAATATTTCCTTTACATTTAACCTCAATAACACTTCACTGGTGGACCCACAGTGTGTATTCTGGAACTTCAGCCTCTTTGATGATCGGGGGGGATGGGACAACGAAGGCTGTATGCCTGTAGAAATTAAAAATGGAAGCGTCACCTGCAACTGCAACCACCTGACCTCCTTCTCCATCCTTATGTCGCCCTTCGTTAACTGCGAAGTGTGTTCTCTGATAACATTTATTGGAGTTGGCATATCCATGGCCTCCTTGGTCATATGCTTAATAATTGAGGCTGTCATATGGAGAAAAATTAGAAGGAACACCACATCTTACCTGCGTCATGTCTCCATTGTTAACATCGCCGTGTCTCTCCTGATTGCAGACATTTGGTTTATCATAGGGGCTTCTATTTCAGAAGCACCGGGTGATAACCGTGACGCATGCTCTGCAGCTACATTTTTCATCCATTTTTTCTACCTAGCCATGTTCTTCTGGATGTTAGCCTCAGCCCTTCTGTTGCTTTACCGCACAGTCAGTGTCTTTGATGGAGGTTTGTCCAAAAGATCTATGCTGGCTATTGGATTCTCTGTAGGCTACGGAGGGCCTATTATCATTGCGGTCATAACTATAGCTGCCACTGCACCCAGTGAAAGGTACACACAAGGTATATTCTGCTGGCTCAACTTTACAGAGTCCCTCGCCATAATAGCCTTTGTGTTGCCTGCTCTGACGATAGTGCTGTTTCACCTCATCATCTTGATTGTGGTATTATTCAAAATGCTGAGGAGAAGGGCAGTGACAGACTCTGCCCAAGCAGGTCAGAGGAATGTTTTATTGGTTATTGCAAGGACCCTGGCTGTCCTCACACCATTATTTGGATTAACTTGGGGTCTGGGAATTGGAACCCTGGCCGACCCAGAAAATCAAGGCATCCACATTGCTTTTTCATTCTTCAATTCACTGCAGGTATGAATACTATAGTTAAACATAACTGTGTGACATTCTGTATAATTCTAACGCTTTTGATGTATTTTGAATTATGAGTGTGTGTTTTGTCATTAAAGCCTTGTGATGCCACTGTGTGCTTTTGTCCTTAAAGGGTTTCTTCATATTGGTGTTTGGACTGCTGCTGGACAAAAAGGTATTTAAGACTCAATATTCATATTTGTATTTAATTGCACGGTTAAATACTAGATGAAAACATTCTGAATTATAGTTTTCCTTTGCTTTTTTCCCTATCATTGCAAAATGTGCACTGCAACATGTGCAGGTAATACACTGACAACAACAGAATCTCCAAAGAGATTAGTATTCGTCAATCAAAGTCAAGTCGAGTCTGTAGCTGCCAAAACTTTTTATTTTACATTTTTTTTACTGAGATACATAGTTATTTTGACAATAGTAGTTATACATGTGGTTTTGTTATTAGATAAACTAGAGATCTGATTAAGTCTAATTTTTCAGTAACAGTAGATATCGCGATGCATCGCGCATGATCTCACGCTCGCTGTTGTTGGGATTTTATCTAGTCAAATTTGGTTATATTATTTATACTTTACTTTACTTATTTAATTATTAATTCATATAAATAACAATATTATTAAACTACGTTTAATTAACTTGGTGAGCACCATTCTGAGATCAGAGTACAAATAACCAAATATCACTAAATTCAGTCTCAAATTAGTTAATGAATTACTAATATTATAAATAATTAATAACTGTATTTAATTAATTGAAGGCGTGAAATCCGTACACAAAGCCCTCGCACCCAGCTTATTTCACAATGCAAAATACACCAGTAATTGCAAACAACTGCTCTAATAAATTATAACAGAATTTATTTAACAAAGACACATCTATGAAGGCAGATATGTTGCAAAATAGGAGAGCTTGTAGAATTTGATGTGAGAGCTTGTAGAATGTGATGTGAGAACTTGTAGAATGTGATGTGTGAGCTTGTAGAATGTGACTTGAGAACTTGTAGAATGTGATGTGAGCACTTGTAGAATGTGACTTGAGAACTTGTAGAATGTGATGTGAGAACTTGTAGAATGTGATGTGAGAGCTTGTAGAATGTGACTTGAGAACTTGTAGAATGTGATGTGAGCACTTGTAGAATGTGATGTGAGCTTGTAGAATGTGATGTGAGAGCTTGTATAATTTGATGTGAGACCTTGTAGAATGTGATGTGAGAGCTTGACGAATGTGATGTGAGAACTTGTAGAGCATGATGTGAGCTTGTAGAATGTGATGTGAGACCTTGTAGAATTTGATGTGAGCTTGAAGAATGTGATGTGAGAGCTTGACGAATGTGATGTGAGAACTTGTAGAACGTGATGTGAGAGCTTGTAGAATTTGATGTTTATTGTAGAATGTGATGTGAGAACTTGTAGAATGTGATGTTAGAACTCGTAGAGCTTGTAGAATGTGATGTGAGAGCTTGTAGAATGTGATGTGAGAGCTTGTAGAATTTGATGTTTATTGTAGAATGTGATGTGAGAACTTGTAGAATGTGATGTGAGAACTTGTAGAGCTTGTAGAATGTGATGTGAGAACTTGTAGAGCTTGTAGAATGTGATGTGAGAGCTTGCAGAATGTGATGTGAGAACTTGTAGAATGTGATGTGAGAGCTTGTAGAATGTGATGTGAGAACTTGTAGAATGTGACGTGAGCTTGTAGAATGTGATGTGAGAACTTGTAGAATGTGATGACAGACTGGCAGTAGCTCAGTCTGTAGGGACTTGGGTTGGGAACCGGAGGGTAACCGGTTAAAGTCCCGGTGCGGACCAAGGACGTTGGACTGGTAGCTGTAGAGGTGCCCTTGAGCAAGGCACCAAACCCCCTCCCCACCACCAGCTCAGGAGCGCCCACTGTGGGCAGCTCTGTCCCTCTGACATCTCTCTATTAGTGCTTGTGTTGCATGAATTACAGAGTGCAAAAACTGAAATTTCCCGACTCCCGCGCCAAAATCTTAATCTTAATCTTAATTAATGTACCGTTATCACCACTTTGTAAAACAAGCTAACAAGCTCTGTTGAGCGAGGAAAGCGAGTGTCATAATATGTGACTTTTAACAATATTCAACAGAGCCAAGTAATATGTATACAATAATAAGACTGATTTGTCAGCAAGCATATCAGCTCTGGTTTATATGTCAACCTTTTCCACCCATCAGTGAGCTACAACCATAAATAAGTCACAGTTCAAATCTGCCGCTTACTGAACTGCATTTCATCTTAGAAGTTGCCCTTTTACAAACATTTTTTATTGCAACATCAGACTTTTGGAGCTTTCAAAAACCAAGCTAATTTGTTGATTAATTTTTTCAGGTGCGGTCAGAAATAACAATAAAGTCACAGATATCCGGAAGTGGCACCAGGGTAAGATATTTTATTTATTTTGTCATTTTTCAAAGCTGATGGAAATATTGGGGTTACTAATTTCTTTGTTTACAATTATTCTTGTTTTAGAGCACCAGTGCTGGAAACTCATCGAGTGCATTTGGATTTCTCCGGCTCTGGAGACGAGGACGAGGTAAAGCAGTAATTTCAAAAAAGAGAAAAAAGCTCTGTCTCAATGCTTCTGTAGTGTTTTCACAATGCCTCAGTTCGGTCAAAAGCCACGGTCGGAAACTAAACTTTTTTTCGCTGTATTAGTCCGTCTATCCTATTCTTGTGAGTGTGATATCTAAGTAGCAGCTGGAACGAATATCTTTAAATTGACTGAATGGACTCAAATGATGACCTTATCTGACTTTGGTAGAAGTTCAATAGTTATATCTCAAGTAGAGTTACGCTAAGAATTACAAAACTATACAAAGGATCAGCAGCATAAAATGATAAAGTGAAGACATTATGTCCAGGTACATTTTTAGGGCCCAAGCACACACTGTAGGGTGCAAGGACCCTATTGAAACTGTAGGAGTTGTTGTTATTCTTGTCACAAATAAATCGCTTATTTGAGAGCTTCAAAATGCCTGAAACTTTGCACAAAATTCAAGAAAGCATAAAATGTACGTATGATAGTGTTTTCGTACGTGTGACGCAAAGTGGCTTGGCAGCGCCCCCTAAAGTACAGCCCCTGAACTGCATTTAGTCTACATGTATGAACATTGGTACCCATATAACTCATGTCTAGGCCTACAAAAAATATATTATGACCATAGTGACAAATGTACAGTAAGTCCACTGAGTCCAGTACAACGTCCATTTTTGGCGATTCACAGGGAGTTTTATCTTACCTGGTACATATTTAATTCTGTTATCCAATGTTTACACCCATGAGAACAACATGTGTAAACTACAACTTAACTGATTGATAGCGGCATACACCTGTGAGGTGTTCCTTTACATTAATTACCCACAAACAGGGCTGAAATTAAACAATACTTGGATAGATATTCAGAAAGTTTTGTATTTTAAAGTTCATTTCCAAATACTGTGTTGGGGCCCTGTAGCCAATAAGCAGGTTAAGGTGTTTTTCTGATCCAGTGAAAAATCTCAACATGTATCAGAGAATGCCCAAATTGTGGCACACCTTTATTCATATTTTTCAGTATAGCTACTCTGTTTATTCATTTGGTGCAACCAACAGGTGACATTTTTTCCGGCCAACTTTAGGTTTATAGTCATCTGCTTTAAACAACTAAAGACAATCTGATGTGTTTCCACAGCTCCATAAGCCAGCACAGCACTCGGTAGTGATTATATCAAGAGCGCTCTCTCTCTCCCAAAGTGCAGCAGGTCGACAGACATGGGCTGCCTTAAAAAGCTAGATCAAATTCATGATTTTTGATTCCATTAGTTTAGTGGTATCCTGATTTTGTGCACAGCTAAATATTCTTCCCTTGGTAAATTTATAATTGAGTAGTGTCCTACCTTTGCATTGCAAAAGTTTTGTTTACGATTAAAGGCCCATCTCGTATTGATGCCTGTCCCACATAAAGGCAGGATCATTTTACAGACTCAAGGCAATAATTAGAGCCCGACCGATTAATCAGCCAGCTGATAATATCGGCTATAAAGTGACTATCGGTATCGGCTAATTTGATTTAGGTTTAGCCTCATAAGGAGCTGGGAAGTCTGTGGACTTGTTTTAGTATCAATCGTTTTTCTTTCCTTTTTGGCCAACGACTAAACACAATATTTTGTTGCTGTGTTTTGTGTTTTTCCAGATGGTTACAACATCTCATCCAACGACTCTAATGTGACTCAATCTCTCGACCCTTCATAATGTTTGCAGAGCGCTTCAACCAGTCCACTCTGAAAGACAACCAACGGAGCTCGACACTTTTTCTCCAATGTTACGACAACTAATCATGAATACGATTTTCTTTTTAAAGCTGCTGCACAGCTTACAACTCTGTTATACATACAAGCATTTATATGTATGTTATTACATTAATTTATGTTGGATAAATAGTATTAATTATCTTCTTTGAGAAAGGAGTTTCATGTACTTGCTATAGGTCAGGAGATATACTCTGGAAAATGTGTGTCGTCATTCTCATTTCTGACCACTAGAGGCAGAAGTGCACCGATATTTTCTTTCAGGTACTTTAATTTCTTGATGAACTTAAAAAAACAAAACATGTAGCTACATATAAAAGGCATTAATCCTAATAAATGATCTTATATTACTGTGTTTTTGTCATATAATAAATACTTTTTGAATGCAGAGACTTTAATAACCTGTTTTACACATCACACACACACACACACACACACACACACGTGTGGTGGTGACTGAGTCTGCAGAGACTTTGTCCTCTGACTGGATTTTTATGTTTTGGTTTGCTTTTGTTGACTCTGGCTGGTTCTGGGTGGGGAGTTGTTGTGTTTCCTCCAGCCAATGATAGTGCTCAGATGAGTTTAGGAGTGGAAACAGTTCAGCAGTTGGGTGCGATTTCCTACCTGCGAATATGCCAGACATGGGTATAGCGGCAAAAAGAAAGTATAATCATAGTGAGGCAGCTAAAGCTCGTTCTGAAACAAGGGTGAATCTTGTGTCGTCTTTCACCCTCAGACGTGGAGTTGTTCCCTTTCCTGTTGGACAGGCAGGTGCAAACACCTGCGGTTAGCTTGTGTTAGCGTGCGGTTGCTTGCAGTGTAGGTACAAGCAGTAAACGTATGCACTACGTCCTGCAGTGAGTGTGAGCTTCTGGAGGGGGCAATGAGCCCAGGAGGAGGGGCCCAGTTTGAAAGTTGCGTTTACAAGCTGCAACAAACATTTCTACTGACTCCTTCTTTAAGGTCATCTTGCCAGTGAACATGTTGTTGCCATGCATACATAAAGAAAAATGAGGCAGATAATTAAAACAGAACAGTACTCAGTGTACATTTTATTTGGTCCAATACAGAACAAACATGTCAAAGTCTGAGCAAGAACACATCCTTCTGGTCATCTAAGCATAACATGAAAAATTCAATTTAGTCACTTGTGTGAAATGAAATGTCGTCGACTGCTCGTTTTATCACAACATATCACCATCCTATGAAAACAACATGTCAAACAGCATTACAGATTGTATTACACTTCTTCAACATGAGTAGCACTGATAATGATTCAACTCTGCCTTCATGATCACTACATATAAAATGAATATGTGTCCGGGGCACCTGTAGCCTGTTCTATTTATAAATAAAGGCATAAAAGGCCCAAAAATAAACATTTTGAATCAATATGTACTTAAAAAAAAGCAAAAGCTCAGCATAATGTTTAAACTGGGTTGACATTTAGGTGAGTAAGCAGTGCTCCTACTCTTTGTAGCAAATCAAAGTGAACTGATTAGATACACGTAACTCTGCATGTTACAAACATGGGCAGATCAATTAAAGGTCACCGTGATCCAGGCAGCAGCTTGTATTCAACTGTTTGTTAACACACACTAGTCATAGCGATCGGGACATCACCTACTGGTTTAAAACATTTCAGTCACGCCCTGCTGAGCATGTGGGTGTAAGGCACTTTTTAAACCCCCCTCTTATATACTGTCTGTAGTAACAGAATACATGTGACCGTGAAACTGCGACCCTGACTTTAAAATAGGTTTAAAATATTCTGAAAATAAGAAATAATTAAAGGACACATATTCTCCTCCTCTTCAACCAGTTTAAATAATTCTCAGAGCTCCTCAAAACGTGTGTGAAGTTTCCTGTTCTAAATCCACTCTGATCCTGTATTAGATCATGCCTATAAACCTCTCTATTTCAGCCCTGCTCCGAACAGGCTGTTTCTGTTTCTGTGTCTTTAAATATGTATATGAGCTGTGTCTGACCACGCCCCCTCTCTAGAAGGGCTGGGGTGTCTCTGGCTTTCTCTCTCCATGTCCTATGGTTTACGGTGAGAAGGCAGACTCAGAGGGCAGAACAAACACCTAGCTGTGGGAGTGTCAGCCACCTGGGGAGGGGTTACTGCTCTTTGTGATGTCATGAAGGGAAAATCTCCAAACAGCCTGTTTGAGCACACATTTTCTGGAAAAGTGGAGCAGGCAAAAGATGGAGAGGATTAACTTTTCTCATCATTGGGGGGTTTGTAGACAGACTAGAGACACATGTTAGTGTTAGAAAAACATGGTGAAGTGTATTTTGTATAACGTGACCTTTAAAAAGGTTTAGAGCAAAAGTGTGGCACCCATATTTGTAGTCTGAGTCAGAGAAATGCTTGGTCCCTTCTCTCAGCTGTCAGAACAACACGCCCCCCTCCCTCCCATCTGCTGCTGCTCAGGAAATGTTTGACTGCAAGGCTGAAGGAATATTCAGGTACGACCAAAATCTTGTGCAGATCAGCAGGAGAGACAGAGTGAACTTTCCTGACTTTATTCAACACAAAGCTTTGAATTTTAGGACAGGTGATATGGCTCCAAATTAAATCCCACAGTACAGTACCACAACTTCAATACCTGTTCAATCCATACTAGAGGCTTTGAATGTTTGTGGCCAACATGATTAATCATGAATGATGCTTTCGCTCTCACGAAATGTTTTATTCTGCTTATACCCGGTCCTAATATTGATTAAGTATGACTAGGAATAATCAAAACAGAGCTTTACTTGATCATTGAATCCAACACAGAGAGAAACGTATCGCTTACCTCACTTTTAAAGAATCACAACTCTCTCTTGTCTACTTCTGGCCAGCCGTGTATAACCGTAGAGGACAAATCCACAAACCGGGGGCGCTTCAGCTTTGAGCAGGTTCGAATCCAGCTCGACCCAAAAAATAAATCCAATATTTGGACCAGAATAATTCACTACATTGTACATGAGAAAGTGAAATCATGAGGAAAGATAAGATTATAATAATGTTACTATTAAATGTTTAATTAAATTGAATAGTTATAATAAACTATGTCTTGTCTATAAACAAATTCTTCATATAAGATACTTCAGGTTACATTAAATTGATATCATGTGAATGAAAATGACCTGAAATGTACAAGAACAGTCCCTGAGCTAACTAAGTGAGTTTATTTTCAGTTCCAATATCAAGAAAAGACAGCAAAACAGAAATGCCTTCACAGTATTTTATTATACACAATGATAAACACAACTAAACAAATGACAGAATAAATAAACTTATGTGCACTGATGTATCTTTACAGGAAGTATGAGGTTTTGTGTAATTGTAAAAATGTATATGTATCTATTGTTATTTTATCTGTATATTGTTATAGTTAATGTAGTTAGATATGCTGTACATAGATATATATAATTTTCAATAACTTGTTTACTCTTCTTCTAAACTGTCTCAACAGCTGCGATAACAAGTGTCTTATTATAAATAAAAAAAACAGCAGTTCTCCAGTTAGGAATTATTCTGGATTCAAGAGAGACATGTCACAAACACGGGACAGCAGAAGACATTGGAACAGTAAGTTAGTCGATATGGAATATTTTTTAGCTTACACACTTCATGCCAACATTGCAATACTGAAAAAGATAGTCTCATTGCAGGTTTTCCTGATATTGTGCAGTACTGTCTCTTCCTGCCCTGCACAATCAAGATAAAGATACAGGACAAGCAAAGGCCTTACAAACTGACTGAAAAACTGAAGAAGAAAAAGACTTGAATTGAAGTACTGTAACCTCGGTTTACCCAACACTGGCAAAGACTGACTGCTGTTATTTTACATCATACTGAAAAAGATAGTCTCATTGCAGGTTTTCCTGATATTGTGCAGTACTGTCTCTTCCTGCCCTGCACAATCAAGATAAAGATACAGGACAAGCAAAGGCCTTACAAACTGACTGAAAAACTGAAGAAGAAAAAGACTTGAATTGAAGTACTGTAACCTCGGTTTACCCAACACTGGCAAAGACTGACTGCTGTTATTTTACATATTGAATCCTACAGGCTTTTATCCAACCAACTTTGTACAATAAAGGTCACTTTTAATTCCCTTGAATGTATTTGCTCTTCCTTATTGAACTTTTATGCAGCATTGTGATGAAGAGCTGTAAAACAAATTCTTATTTTGGAACACAACAACAATAAAGATCTATTATTAAAACCTCTGTGAATTCTTAATTCCAAAGCACACAAAAACAAATATGATATACACAATAAGTGAACTTGAAGAGAAATAAACAGTATATTTAAAGTTTGTAGCTATAAACATGTTTACAATATCAGTGCAAAAGCACTAAAGCAGTCACTTTTTATTTTCAGTGACCCATCTGTCCCTTTCAGTGTCGTAAAAGCCAGACTGCTGAAATTCAACCCAAGTCATTTCTTTGACCATGCCCTGTGCCCTGTACAAGGAGAACACTCTGGAGGGGCAGTAAATGTACTTTCCCAGCACCCCCGGGAAGGATGTATGAATGTGAGGGCTGCTCGGACCCTGCTTTAGTGGCTGGTGACAAAACCTGCAGAGGCAACCTGTTGGCAGCTGCACTGTTGAAATCCTCTTTGCCCTCTCCTCTACCACCTTTCTCCATTCTGCCCCCCTCTGTTTGGCAGCATCCAGCTCCTGCTCAAAAAACGGAGTGGCAGCAAAGTCCTCAAACGACATCCTGGGGTTTTTAAGGCCTTCATGTTCATAGGTCTTAAAAACCTTAGTGGAACAATAAAAGTACTTCACAATTGGGGTTTGATAAAAGAAATGGATTGAAGAGCCATCCCCAAGATATCTGGACTTTGGCTGACCACAGGCTAAACAGTTCCTAGTCATCTTCTTCTGCTTCTGTTGTTGCTGCTGTTTTTCCATGATCTCTGTCACAATCTTCTCTACTCCACCTGTGTAGAGGAAAATAGGACGGCAGCCTGGCTCCACATACTGCAGCCCAAACCTCTCCCCTGTGTCCCTGTTAGACACCTGCATGGCTGGATATGTCGCCTTCCCCGTCACATGTACAGAAGCTGTGTTCAGCTGGGCAAGTAAAAGAGGGTCAAACACAGCAGGCAGCTCCACACCTGGCAGCTTCAGGTCCACCAGCCTCTGGAAGTTCCAGCGCACCACTCCAGTCATGGCCTGGGCCTGAAACAACTCACTGGATACCCTGTTGCCCGTCACCCACTGGGGCTTGGTGGAAGTGGAAGCCCTCCTGCTGCGATGTGCCTCTCACAGGGATCC